TGAGACTTGAACCCAGATGCCAGATTCAGTTTCTATGCTCTTAACACTACCTAAGCTGCCAGGTGAGTTCCCTGAAGAAACATCATAAAGATGGGGGAAAAAAATGGGTCGTTGGAGTTGTGATCCTGTCTGTGAATCTTAAATGATACAGTGAGCAACATGATCCTTATTCATGTTGCTTTCATCAAAGGAATTTAGGATATCTCATCCATTTCAAAAATTTGTGAATAAAAGATGCTGCACACATTTATTTCTGAGAACGGATACAATATACTATCATCAAACTAGTTTTTGCTGAATAATCTGTTCCTGAACAGAATGAATCAATAACCTGGACTTATTTCCAATTTATGAGATGAATATTTAAACACCACTATGTGTTTCTGCTCATATCATTTTCAAGGATATTGGTTTCATCTAACTTAAATATTCTTTCCAGAAATGTGGGGATTGTAGATCTATCTTCACCAGCTTGTGCTATAAACAGTGCCTCTTCAGAGTAGTGCCCCCAGAGAACAAGCACACACAGGTTAACAGAAAGTCTAATTCCTCTTCTCCTCCTCTCTCCATTCCAATATTTGCATTGGCGAATTGTCCAAGCAGCCCCCTCAGTATGGGGGAGGAAATGGTTTTCTTTTTAAGTCCAAAGGGCTGAAACTGCTGGAACATGGTATTTCTTCCTCTCTTGGGTGGAAGTTGGAATATGCTACCCAAACCCTTGTTTGTTTCCAGAATGCACCTTCTGCAGCTGTTGCTCTACAATCCATAGGCTTAGTGTTGCAGCTGAAAACCAGAGCCCAAAGAGATGCCTCCTTCACCAGGATTTAGAGCCTGGGGGAACAGCTTCCTAAAATCCTGGCAGTCAAGAGAGATGCATCCTCCCTGACTTTTCTTTGCATTACTCCTCACCAGAAGCCAGAGGGCGTGCAGAATGTCTACTAGGAATCCACTAGCAGTGCCACTTACCTAGGGGTGACCCAACTCAAGCTCAGTTTCCTCGCCTGTTCTTATCCTGAGACAGATCCCTGCCCAGACTGCTGAGGATGCTCCCTTCATTTTGGATCCATGGAATGAAAAGCTGTGCAACAAACATGAGAGTTTCTTAGCCTCACTTCTACTGCCATTTCTTCCCCCCAGAGACCTGTCTATTCCCATGTAAAAGTGCCTAGTTCCTTGCAACAACCTTGAAGCCCAGCATGCCAGGAGGGGAGCCTCACCCCATCTCCCTGCAGTAGGAGCTGAGGCCAGGTTCAGCCACAGCACTCTCTTCTCTGTCATTGTCAGGCTTATGGAAGTTCTTGGCAGAATGATGATGATGATGGTGATGATGATAGTCAACATTCATTGAGTGTTTATTTCTCATGAACATAATCAGCACCCAGTGAATGGCCCTGCAATCAACAAGATAAATATACAGGATTTAAATGTACCTCATATCTTCAGGCATTTCTGGGAGATAATATAATTAAACTTCCATTATACAGACTTTGAAACTGAGTCTGAGCATGATGAAATAACTTGCCCCAAACCATATGGCCAATAAGGGTCAGACCTTTGAGGCTTAAGAGTCTCAAGTGACATCTTCAGTTTGGGTTAATGAATCTAAAAGTACCCGCAATGTAACTATATAAAGTCATTGCTTAATAAAAACAAATCTCATAGATGATGACTCATTTCAAGACTAGCTTCTGTAAACCTGCTTCTTTCCTGTATTTCTTCTTTCTTTCCTTTCTACTTTCCAATCATCCTACCTTTATTCTGTTAGCCTTTTTTTGGCCTGCCATGTGCCAGGCACCAGTCTGTGTCCTGGGCATAGAAAGAGGAAAAAGATCCAGGCCAGGCCCAGCAAAGCTTAGGTCCAGGAGCCAAGCCTGAAAGCAGGTTCCCATGAGAAGCCCCGAGTCTTGTCATCTAATTAGATGGGGAAGAGGGTACTATTGTCCCATACAGTGCACTCTGCTCTGTCCTTGCATATAGGAAAGGGCTGCCCATGTTCCATACAGGGATGAAATTAAAGGTTCTAGTACTTGAACTTCTACTGTATTTATAGTCAGTGCAACACTCATTCAACTATACTGATGTGATTTCATGTTTTCCTCCCAAAATCACTTTTTTAAGGGAGAAACCAAAAAAATCTACATTTTGAACACAATAGCTCTATGGTCTTAATTTCTCTGACTTAGTTTCTTTGCTTTATAAAAAAAAAAGAAGAAAAGAAAGAAAAGGAGGGATAACAATATCTGCCATGTTTACTTGGCAGGAATGCTATAGGATCAGATGAAGTTGTAATTAAGGCATAAGGGGGACAAAATGTTATGTAAACGTGAGGGCTTTTGTATATTTTTAACGTGAAATTTAAAGCTGAGTGACACCATCTACCTATCTGTCCCTCTCCGTAGGTGCCCACGTACATGGTCCCTGTGTTCCAGCCATAACTATACGGTTCTGCTTTGAAATGCCCTCATCTCATCTGCCTTCCTGCCTTTGCTTACACTTTTTCTTTGGCCTCAAGTGCCCTCTTCCCATCACTGTCTGTTGACTTGCTTCCCTGATCAAATGCCATCTCCTCTAATCTGAAATAGTGACTCTTGCCTCATCTGCACCATTAAATGTTGTGTGTCTGTCACAAAATCACACTTAGGACCATGACTAGAGCTAAGGTCATCTACATCTTAGCCTCTCCGCCTCCATATATATGCCTTGTATATCTTCAATAAAATGTTTTTTGACTCAAATTCTGCTTCTCTTCTCTATGCCCTTTCCTGCCTGTCCCCTGACACCCTGCACCTAATGCACCACCTGGAATTTAGTAGGTACCCAATGTATACATCCTGTGGAGTTTTAGGGGCAGCAAATTCAACATACAAGTCTTCATAAGTCAAGGGGAGTTAGCCTTTACCTTTAAGTTAAATCAAACATCACAAGGAAGTATATGAAATTTGCCTGTACTGGGTGGAGCATCAGGGCCCAGGAAGATAATGTCTCCCAAAATGCAGACTGAGAACAGTGGGGTTACCCAGATGATTTTAGGTGACACAGAGGTGAACTTTTTATCAAATGTAATAGTTACATAATCTCGTATATAGTAAGAAGAGATAAAATTAGCACATCAAACCTATGACTTCGTAAACATTCTTTAATAAATGCTCTTGCATGTGAATAAAAATGAGTTGATTTAAAGAAAAACATTACATAAATAATGGTAGAGGATATGGCCAAAAGATGTGATGATGGTGCTCCAAGGTTAGGAAGCATAAGGACAGACAAATACTTTTAGGAGTGCAGAGCTGGAGATGAGGGTGAAGAGGTACCTGTTTATGGACCAGGTCTATTGGTAGCCCCAGGAATTAACAGAATTATTTACACAACTGTATTACTATGCAAAGCTCTTTGTTGAAAGGGCAGAATGCAAATAGAATGTTTTCTCATCACTATTGTTCCTTCGTTGGAATGAAGAAATATGGTGAATGTCAACTCACACATCAAGCTTTGCAGCATTGGCCACCAAGTTTCATAATGGTCATGGGGTTTTACACCCATTCTCTAGACAGTCAGATACAAAGGACCTTAATATGGGTTTGCTTTTCCATTTTTTTTTCCTGCAAAGCACAACACTTTACAAAAAGAAAACACATCAAAGGCAATCCTTTTCTTGCATACATTTCAGGGTTCCATTTGAGATCCACACTCATCTTCCTTATCCAATTACATGATCAAAGTATAAGTGTTTGGCCTACTTTAATGCTTTAAAGACGTCCAGGGAAAAAAGTAAGAACATTTAAAACTACCTTTTTTAAGCCACACATCTTCCTGTAGAAGAAATGGAATCCATTCCACCCTCCCCACACACCTCCCACCCCCCACCCCCACTTAGCTAGTCTCTAGATACAAAAAGTCAAATCAGAAAGTTAACATGTTCTAATCATCCAAACCATAAAGCGTCAGTTACATCTCTGTAAAATCCAATCTAATCTCAAGTCAGCATGTCTAGTGTACTTTTTGCTTTCTATACTGCTACAAAATCCCTAACAGTACCTATTGCAAAACTCTTGATTTTCCTGATTAGTTTTAAAGACCTCATAATTAAAATAAAAACTGTAAAAAAAATCCTGAAATACTATTTATTTGTCTCCCCAAAACTGGTTCTAGCATGTCTGTTCATTTTAATGCTACAATACAGAGTTCATATTTCCTAAAATAGGATGCACCTTGTCCTTCATATTAACACTCTGGGATTTGAGGCCCTGGTTAAAAAAAAAAATAGCAAATGCAGCGTCCTCAAAAATATTTAAGTGAGCAGACTGCCTATTGGCGGATTGATTTTTCTCTATGGAAATAAATCTGTCGGCAGCCACCAGAATTGGGGTCTAAAAGATGACCTCGGGCAGCTGCTGCCATTTGTTTCAGTGGGAAAATGAGGGTTTTGTCTCTCCCCAGGGGTTAATACTGTGATGCTCTAAGCATCGTCTGGGCTCTGTTTCTGAAGGGTTACACTGAAGAGGAGGAATGCTTTGTGGTTTATGACAAGATCACAGCAGAATATTTTGTGCACGCTGTGATTTGTATTGCCCATTTGTGCACAGGCCATAAAAGTGCACTTTTTATCAGGAGCATTTGTGAATATATAACAGCACTGAAGACATATGGCCACTAAATAATTCACAGTTATCTATCTCCTCAGCAGATTCCTTATACACCTACCATGTTTTAATGCCTAGTTTGCTCAAAAACAATATTCTTTATGACCCTTCCAATATAAAAATGTTTACTGACTGGCAACAATATATTGATACCATGGGATTGGGCTGTAAGGAAAAGGAAAGCTTTCTACTTTCTCCACCTCTCCCTGTTCTCATTTGTTTCTTCTGAACTCTTCCAGCCATCACCTAACCTCACAGAAGAAGGTGCCCTCCTCAAATGTGGGTGATAACTTCTGACTTCTGGTATTTGGGCTATAAGAGGGAAGTCACTGACTAACCTTCACCCTCTTTTCTTTTCAGTTCTATATCCATTTACAGTCCCAAGGAGAATCCAAATGCGTTTGATGCTGCAGCATTCTTCCAGTCCGTGGGGAATTTCCTGGGGATCTTCGCTGGCTCGTTTGCAATGGGGTCTGCATATGCTGTTGTCACAGCACTGATATCCTTTGTGTGTGTGTGTGTGCAAAGCTGGGGACTGTTAAGAGCTGTCAGTGTCCCTGGAATGTTTCTGAGGATGGACAATCTCTAGGCTATGAATGGCTAGATAGTCTGGTTCAAGTGTGATACAATTCCACTGGGGCCATCTTAGTTCTGAGTCATCCTTGAGGCACAGTTTGGTACCAGCAGCACAGAGGCCAGGCTCTTTTCTTGTCCAAGGCCTGTTCTAGCACCGCTGATACTGTCTGACCCTAGGATAGCAACAGTCCTAAAAAACTGCCACCTAGGAAAATAGTTGGACATGATCTGGATTGGCTATATTAGGGCCAAGAGAAAGAGCTGAAAATTCGAGGTCAAGAACAAGACAGGATTGACCAGGGGTGATTAACTGGGTATCTTCTTATTCCTTTTCAAACTTCTGTCAATCAGTAGATCACAGGGCTGGCCAAGGCAAAGATCACTGTATATTTAAAGAAGCATTTCTGGCTATTTTACAGAAGAAGACCTGCAAGGAAGGTGGCAATGACATGTTTGCCATATATGGGCAATTGTGTCATGTCTCGTTCCCTCTTATGCAGTAGTAGGGTAGGAGAATGGGTAGAGTTCCTAGAGGACTTGAGCCAGAGATTGAAGCTGGTCTAGTGAGAGGTTCAGTCAGAGCAGTTGGATGGGACAAAAGTAAGTTAGAGTTGGGGAAGAAAGCCAGAAAGCTGATGTCAAGTATGAGGGCCTAGCAGAAGCCATCCAAAGAGGCAGGACAAAGGATCAAAGACCAAAGATGTTGGGGAAAAGAAAAAGAAGAAGGGTGCAAGAAGGGTCAAGTCTCTAGCAAAGAAAGCAAAATGTTAGGTTCTTTTTTATGGGTACTGACCCAGAGCAGAGTTTCACTGAGCAGCTGCTAAAAGGTTAGGTCCTACTAAGGGTTTCTAACATAAGTCAGAAGGTGAATAAAATACAGACTCTGCCTTCAATTAGTAACAAACTTGGAAGGACAAGGGCTGCAATAAGAGTTGTTTAGAAGGTGAGTTGCAAAGCCACAGCCAACTTATTAGGATGCTAAAAATACAGATGTGGATGGGTCCATTGTTTCTTGAATAGTCCAAAAGACTCTTGGCCAACCTTATAATTCTGAAAAATAATTTTAAAAGCAGTATTTACATGCAGATAACAGTGTAGGCTGAGCCTGAAATATAGGTAGGATATAAACAAGGCTATGTGATAAGTGATTCAGGAGAAAACCAGCATTCATTAAGGTATGGGGATGGGGCTAATGTGGTACATGCAGATGTGCCTGAGAGGACCACAGGGCTCAGGCTGGTGAGCAGTGGAAGATGATACATAAATGGGTTGGAATCACCTTGTGAAGTATCTTGGAGTATTATTCAGAGAAATCTGAGCTTCATTCTATAGTCTACAGTTAGCTACTGAAGGTTTCTGCTCAGGAGAGTGATGTATTGAAAGTCCCATTTTTAAACAATAAGTAAGAAACAGGTTCACAGGACAAATCAGAAAAAGAAGATTAGAATCATCAAGAAGGAGACTAATGTTTAAAAGAATCTCTAGGACTTAATGATTGGAAGAGGAGAGACTCAAAGGCCACTCCCAAGTTTTATCCCAGAAATCCTAGACAGTATCAATTCCATTGACAAAGAAATAAAGTAACTCAGAAAAAGTAGGGCTGATTCCTAATAAAAATAATGATAATAATCTAATGATTAATATCAGTACTTATGATATGTAAAGCCTTTATTTGTTTTACACACTATACCTCCTTTACCCTGACAATGATGATATCATGCAGATATTTTAATTTTATTGGACACTGAATCTTAGAAAGGTCAAGGTAATACCCAGTGTCCTGCTGCTTGTAAGAATTGGAGCCAAAATTCAAACCCAAGATTGAAACCAAGAGACAGACCCAGAGACAGACCATGCTCTTTATCACTAATCCCTATTGCCTCTTGATTATTAAGTGGAATTATGATGGAGGCCACATGTTGTTTTGAATAAGCAATGGCAATGGTGATAGCAACATTTAATGAATGTCTAGCATGTGCCAAGGAATTTATATATATCTCTCTCTTCATTTGAATCAACCCTGTAAGATAGGCTGTTATTATCCTCATTTTACACATGAGGAAACTGAGGCTCAAGGAGGTTAAGTAGCTCCTCTGGGTCACATATCAATAATAGTGGACACAATTATTATTATTATTATTATTATTATTATTATTGTAACATTTGTTGAGAACTTTGCCATTTGCCAGCCATTGTCATTAGCATTTTGCTAATGGATTTTCTCATATAGCTTTTATAATAACACTGGGAAGGAGATACAGTTATTATCTCAATTTTACAGCTAAAGAAACTGACACATAAAGGTTAAACAACTTGTCTGAAGCTAGGAGATTTCAGGGCCAGGATTTAAAGCCATGTCTTTTGGCTCCAGAGGTGGAAGAGCTGAAATTGGAACTCTTCTCCACCTGGCATGAAGGCAATGTATGGACACATAAGTAAATAAGGTGGGAAGGGAAGGGAAAAAATTCCTGGAGTTTGGAAGTCTTCCATGAGATTGGATCAGATCTGGAAAAAATGGTGGAGAGATGGAAGGGACAGGGGCTCAGTCTCAGTGGGAGAATCTGTCACGCAGCATCAATGGCCTTGCCTCTCACAAATTCAGGCTGCAGAGGAGACAGGTGTGCAACCATCCCCTCCATCATCATAACCTTGATACATTGTCCATAATGAGGCAATGCTCCTCAGGGCATAGGTCCCTGGGCACTATGCAAGCTGGGGTCTTGACCCAGAACTGAATTACTTTCTGGACAAGGTTGAAAGAGAAGAATGTCCTATGTCCATTTGATATACCGTTACTCAAAGTGGCCTAAGCCTTCTCTACGATAACGTAAAAGAGGGAATTCAGAAGAACAAACCCCATTAAAAACAAAGCCTGCCCTCCAAGTCACAAGAAAGATTGCTGGAAAAGGGTCCAGCCCATGTTTTCTTCCAGATAAAGAATTGCTCCTAGGTGTTTACTGAATCTGATTCCAGGAAAGATGTTTTACAGAATGAATTAATTTAAATCACACTAATAGAAAAATTTATATATTCCTTGTTGCATACCAAGCACTCTTAACACATAATGACTTGTTTATATACCTAGGAGGTAGGTTACATGATTATCCCCATTTTCAGACAGGGAAACCAAGATACAAAATGGCTATGGAGCATGGCGAAGAAGCTGATACAGTGAAGTGGAGTTGGCTTCCAGAGGCTACACTCCCAACCATGGTGTTATTTTGCTTATTCTTGGCATTTTGTGCTTTCTAAAACTTTGCAAAAATGTTTTAAATATTCATCTCATTTTACTCTGCACACTTGGTACAGATAATTCACATAGGATAGAAATGAGGCTCAGAGAGGTTAATATATTGCTCAGAAATCACACAGCCAGCAACTAGCAAAGCCAAGACTCAGACCTTGATCTTCTGCCCCAGGGGTCATGCTTTTCGCTTCCCTGCCCTACTGCTAAACATCTCTTAATGTGGAATCTCTTTAGATTTTTTTTTCTTGAAGCATAAAAATGCCACATAACATATCCTTATTTGTGAGGGCTCTTTTTTATTTTTTTATTTATTTATTTATTTATTTTTTTTTTTTGCCTAACTGTAGGCATAGTTGCGATGTGACCCTTTTCCATCGATCACCTATTCCTAATCGTCTTCCTATAATCCCTTCCCTGCATGATTTGGGTCACTATGCCTTTGCTCTATATGTAATTTATAGGCTATTTATTGACCAAGTGTCATCTCAGCCAGAATGAACCATCGCCTGCCAAAGGGCTTCTTGCCTGACCTAGAAATGATATACTTTTTCCCCTAGCCTACTTATACTAAGATGGCATGGGTATCTTCCCTATCACTGAATGTGAATGTTGCTCTGATCCTATTTCCATCCCCAGGAGAGGAGTCTTTAAGGTGATCTGTCCACGGCTTATGGCTCTCCAGGGAGCAGTGACCTCCTTTGGTGCTGACGTATTTGAAGCACCTCACCCTGCTTTACTCTCCATGGCTTTGTTTTGCCTCATCTGCTGCAGGCTCCCGAGAGGCACACCCCAAGGACCAAGGCCAAATTCAGGAGGTTTTGTACCCACAGTTAGGTGATTTTATCTTCTTAGTAAGACACCTTTTTTTAAATTGGAACACAGGTTTGTTGTGCTCGCTTCGGCAGCACATATACTAAAATTGGAACACAGGTTTGCATTTTTACTGGAGTGTTCAGCCCCCAGTGAGGCACAAAACTCATGCTGGCCTTCAAAGCAGTCCCAGTGAGACCTACAGCCTCCCAGTCAGGTCTGAAAATCAGTGCTCTTCTTTGAAACCGATCACAACGAGATTAGTTTTCCTCAGCCAAGGAGGAGATTTCGCTTTCAAAGCATTTGTTGTTTCCCTTAACGTGTCTTTGTCACTTGACCAAATTTACCAAGCTGTGTGAGTTCCCTATGCTGGAAACAGGCCTGTTTTTCCTCCTGTCTTGGAGCGCCTTCCTGTCTGCTGAGGCTGCCGGCCTGACAGGTCAGTGCTGCATTCTGCACAGCAAATTGGATGCGTGATATGTGTATGTGCTCCCATGCGTATGCCTGCCTGACCCAGCAGGAGGTGCGATGGACTCTCTCCAAGATGGGTTTGTGTCTGAATCAGCCTTTGCTCGGTACCCTGGGGGAGGGAGGAGGATAATAACTCATCCATTTTGTATGCAAAAACTTAACGGAAAGCCTCCAAAATGCTATTTCCTCTTCTCTGTCACTGGTCAGGAGGGTATGTTAAAATCTACAAATGACTGATTTATAGAGGTGATGGATGACTTTACAAATGGAAGTCTACTCACAACGTGAAGGGGTGCACAAGTGCTTTGTAGAAAAGGGTGGTGGTTTTCCATTGGCTGCTAACAGCAAGTAGGCAGTAGAGGCAGCCGGCCCAGGGCATGCACATTTCCACCCACACCAGTGTTGAGAATCTTTGCATACAGAAAACAAAGAGCTAACGTGGCGGTTCTACAATTTAATATCTCTTACCATAGAAAGTTTATATATAGAATCCTCTGAGGCAGAGCAGTTAATAGAGAAAGGGGCAGTCCCTAATGTCCCAAGGGCCATGGATCCTGTGATCTGGATTCGGCAATTAGATTGCCTTTCTGCAACAGCAAGGATTTGCGCTTGGATAGCTGCAACGATTGGGTGCCTTTCCGTGTAGAAGAATCACTGTGGCTCTGAGTAAAATGTCAAAGCTGTTTCTCTCCTTTGGCCTAGTTCCCTGCTTCTCCCAGGTTTCAGCCCTTGATCCCTTGCTGTTCCCTACTGTTGTCATCTTAATTGACATTCAAGTGGTGAGATTCTTCACCCCACTCCAAGTATTCACTGGTAACAAGGTATGCCTCTCTGGCTATTTGCATTTTATTAGGTGGTACTTTAAGTCTAAATAATAATAAAAGTTGACATATACTGAAGGTGTACCATGAGCCAAGTGCTAGCTAACCGCCTTTCATGCACATCCTTGCTCATTCACAGGACTCAAAGTTAGGGCCTACACCCAGGCCACTCAGCCAACAGTAAGTGATGGAGCTGAGATTTAAAACTAGGAGATTTGATTCCACAGTTAGGCTCTTGGGCATGAAGCGTTGCTATCTTGAATGAAATTCCATCTGTGGAATATCAGGCAAGCCCTCATGAGAAGGAAGATATTTGGTGTCTCAGGAGCCTGCCTGGTCCACTTGGTCATAGATTGGTTTTGGCTCTCCTGTGAAATGCATGGCACATCTTTCTTGTAATGATAACCTGTTGTTCTGGACAGCTGACCCAACTTACTGCAGAGTCACAGGGGCCAAGCTATTCCCCACAACTTTGAAGGTGTCTATTGCTGATGCAGATAGCCACCCTGCCAGTTCTTAGGGTAGTGTATACCAAGGCTACATTACCAGAGTCCACCCTACCGGCCCTTATATCCAAATCATCACAACACAATGTTATGTTAGTGCCTTCCACTGTTGGTAGGGCGGTTGCTAAAGAGCTTATTCATTCCAGAGAAAAAGATCAATTGTGTCCCTTAAAATAATGAAGGTAAAAAATTTACATCAGCCATTCAAAATAATTCTGGTTCCCTTTTCTCCAGATTCTATGCCCTTTTCACTACTCAACATGTTGTAAAAGGTAAGCAAGGTTAACAATAAGAATACATATTTAACCTTCTAGAAAGGTAAAGAAATCTCTTAACTCACCTGCTATTTTGAAGTCTACTTTTGAACATTGTAATAAACACACACACCAATACCTAAAAATTGTTTGTTTTTATGTGTGAAAATTGTCTTTCTAGTTTCTGATCCATTTCAGCAAGATCTTGTTCTAGTAACTACTTAAAAGATTATAGTCCTTGTACAGATTGCTGGTTTACCTGTCCATTTCTCTTTTGCCACCCTTTTCTACCTGATATCCTTATTGGATGCCACATAGACCACCTCATGGGATGGGTGAATGTATGTGTGGGCCATGGTAGTGGAAAGACCCAAATGTCCACAGCTGCACCCAAGAACACACTCACGTCAGAGAAGTACTCCAGATTAAGCAATGTGCCTAACAAATATTTGATAGAAACCAAACTCTAGGTGTAAGCATTTTCTACTGCCAAATACCAAGCCCAGTTAGTCTAAATTACTAATGTGTCTGTCTGTTTGTTTGTTTGTTTGTTTGTTTATTATTTAATCCTTGCCTATTTCCAGATTGGATTTGAGACAGTTCATAACATGAGCCATGCATATCATGGGACCATTTAGTTGAGAGTAAATACTCAAGTGCTTTGGGATAGAGTTTTTCTGCAAAATTAGACAGCTGTTCATTGCTGTGGTTTGGCAATAAATAATAACTCTGGGCTTTCTGGCAGCCAAAGCCAAAAGGGAAAGATGATGAGTTATACAGGAATAATACAACATTATAAAAGGAAATCATACTTATTTGTAAAAATGGGCAAACTTTTTTCCAGTACTAAAATTTTAGGAGAATTTATCACATGTATCCCTGTATAAGGGACCTTTGAACGCCATAGGGGACAATATTTTTAATAATAGTTTAGGGAAGATGAACATGTATTCTTTGTGTAGTAATTTCTCAGATCAACTTCAAAGAAAATCTGAGAGAGTGGCATCAAATTATAATTATCTAAGGGTGGGCACCGGGTGGCTCAATCAGTTAGGTGTCTGACTTTGGCTCAGGTCATGATCTCATAGTTCGTGAGTTCGAGCCCACTCCAGGCTCTGTGCTGACAGCTTGGAGCCTGAAGCCTGCTTCAGATTCTGTGTCTCCTCTCTCTACCTCTCCCCTGCTCATGCTTTGTCTCTCTCTCTCTCTCTCTCAAAAATAAATAAACATTAAAATAATAATAATAAAAACATAATTATCTAATGTTACTTCTGGTAATGATACAATCCTTTTAGTTGTAATCCACAAGTAAACTAAGATATTGCAAAGCTAAAATCTAGAAAACTTTCTAAAAAGTGTATAACAAATGAATATGTGACAACAAATATAAGGAACTAAGTGGAATAAGCTATTATAAACAGTTGATGAGTAACCATGGAGGTAACCAGCAATCCTGGGGCCTTGTCTGCATTCATGAACAACCCATCATGTAGGTCCTAGGGATGGTGCTTACATGCACTGGTTTCTCAGCAGAATACCCCCAACCCTGACATTTCAAAGTGGTGCTCCAGGATGCCCACCAAGTGAGCAGGGTGCTAGGCTTGTCATCCCTACACTATCCCTTTTATTGGTTCCATCAATTGGGTTTTCACATAAGATTTCATTTGAAAAAAGGATTTCTGTTACTTTAAACAAAGTATGTCTGTTTTTCTACCAAATTAATACATAAACATTATAGAAAATTTAGAAAGTATAGATTCACAGAAGGACATGATATTTGAATTACCTGTTTTCTTACTCAATAACTATTGTTAATATACATCTAATTATATGCGTCTAATTATATGCATATACATACATTTAATTAAATATATACATTCATTCATAATATAATTATACTTTTTAAGTTTGAAGTAACTTGCTTTTTACACTCAAGAATTTATAGTGACTATTTTTCATGACATTCTTCTCTATTATTTAATGGATGCTTAATAGGATATCCTATCAACTTGCCATAATTATTCTCCCCTCCTTTTGATTGTTTATACTTTTCAGTATTATACATATGATTGCCATGATCATCCTTATAGACTGATGTATTCATTTCTATTACTGGGTTAAAAGGAAGGCCAAAATCTTAATGTCTTGGAAAAATTAATCCAAATTATCTTCCAGAAAATTTGTAACCCTTTATACTTCCACAAACAATGAAAAAGACCTCATTTACTTACATCTTTACCATACGAAATCTTACCCATCCTTGCTAATTTGATAATCAGCCTCCATTTCATTGTGATTTACATTTATTATGTTTGTACCAAAGAAAGCATTTTAGTTTCATGTCATGGGCAATTTATATTTCTCCTTTGGTGAACTACCTATTTCTGCCCTTAGTCCTTTTTCCTACTGAGATGCTTATGGTTGTCACATTGAATTTTAGAAGCTTTTTATTTCTTTAAAAAATTAACCTTTTGACTGTCACATAAGCTATAAATATTCTCCAACTTGTGGTTTTATCTTTTAAATATGTCATATTTTGTTTGCTTAGTAAAGGAAAAAGATAGTATGGACATTTTTAAGTTTATGTGGTTAATTTTATCTCCTCCTTAAAAAGCCTAAGATTTTATTAATTTTTGCATGGAAAGCCCAAGTGTTTACTAATGATAATATGTACTTTCTTTTAATAATTTTATTTTTGCATTGGAATCCACCTGAAATTTGTTTTGATATGTAGTATAGGATATAGTAGGGACTTGATCATCTTCCTAGAAGGTTATCCATTCACCCTAACACCCTTCAAGTGTAACCTATGTATTTATGATATAATGTCCATGTCTGTAGGTACATAAATGTGTATGCAGGTTCTGGGCTTTCTATTGTACCACTGAGATTTCTATTGTCTTCACTGTTTTGATAATTTCAGGGGTGCCTGGGTGACTCAGTCAGGTAAGTGTCCAACTCTAGATCTTGGCTCAGGTTATTATCTCACAGTTCATGTGTTCAAGCCCTGAATTGGGCTCTGTGCTGATGGCCTGAAGCCTGCTTGGGATTTTGTGTCTCCTTCTCTCTGCCCCTCCCCCAGTGGTGCAAGCTCTCTCTCTCTCTCTCTCTCTCTCTCTCTCTCTCTCGCACATGCACACTCTCTCAAAATAAACGTAAAAACAGAAACTTAAAAAATTTACCCTTTACAGCTTCATTGTTCATTTTACTATCTAGTAGCTCCATCCCTCACCCCCTTTCCTCATTTCTGAGAGCTTCTTTGCTATACTCACATCTTTATTATTCCAGATGGACTTGAAAGTAACTGTTAAGTTTCAAGCAGAAAATAACTTTGGGATTATGATTGTGGTTGCATTAAATTTTTAGATTAATTTGAGAAGTGGTGTT